CATTTATATAGTGCTCTGTGAACACAAATTAGTTAGCTTGTTTGTTTGTTATGGATTTCGCGCAAAGCTACACGGGGGCTATCTGCGCTAGCCGTCCCTAATTTAGCAGTGTAAGACTAGAGGGAAGGCAGCTAGTCATCACCACCCACCGCCAACTCTTGGGCTACTCTTTTACCAACGAATAGTAGGATTGACCGTCACCTTTTAACGCCCCCACGGCTGAAAGAGCGAGCATGTTTGGTGTGACAGGGATTCGAACCCGCGACCCTCAGATTGCGAGTCGAGTTTCCTTAACCACCTGGCCATGCCGAGCCCGTAATGAAGTATTGATAACTGGAAGAGATTGATTCATCTTTACTGTTTTTTGTTTTTTTTGTCACCGAAACAGAAGAAAGAATTTAAAGTTACTGTGATGTTATTAAACATTTTAAAATATTCTTCGACTTTATAATAGATAACAAAGAAAAGCACGAATTTATAGAATAAACAGAACATTTTAAAACATTTTGTGATGAATAAAATGTTTGTTGCCCGAGTTATATGTATAAAATGTTTGTTGCCCGAGTGATATGTATAAAATGTTTGTTGCCCGAGTTATATGTATACAATGTTTGTTGCCCGAGTTATATGTATAAAATGTTTGTTGCCCGAGTGATATGTGTATTTAACTATCGAATGGATTACAGTCGACATTTCCAAACTTAGAAACGGTGCCGAGAATGTTTTATAACTCTTCCTATTAGCAATGCTACGGGTGAAAGGTCATTTTATGTCAAAGGGCAAAAACTATTTACGGAACACAATATCTCAGGATAGTTTATCTTCTCTTTCACTTCTGAATATAGGAAACGAGAAATTAGAACATATCAGTTACGAAGTTATTGATCAGTTTGTAGTTTAAAAAGTGGGAATTAGAACATATCAGTTACGAAGTTATTGATCAGTTTGTAGTTTAAAAAGTGGGAATTAGAACATATCAGTTACGAAGTTATTGATCAGTTTGTAGTTTAAAAAAGTGGGAATTAGAACATATCAGTTACGAAGTTATTGACCAGTTTGTAGTTTACAAAAGTTTTAATATTAGGTAAGTATTTATTCTTACTTGTTCAAGTTTATGTTATTATATATCTAAATCTAAAACAATATTACTTATTAATTCATACCATTATGAATTATCTAAATGATTATGTCAAGAGTAATGCTAGCGATAGGGGCTCAACTTTAGGGTGCGCCTAGAGCCCCAGAATAGCTAAATGCTCCTTATTTGTTACATCACTATCAGCATTTTAAACAAATTATACTTTCTTAAAAATTGTAAATGCTTGATATTTTCCCATTAAAGTGACTGGTATTTTTTGTTATTCCAAAAGCTGCATCAATCAGCTGAGTTGTCATAAGCCTAGTTCTGGGGTGAAGTCAGCCATAAGTGATCATAAGGGCTACAGAATGGTCAAACTGGACAGAAGCGACATATACCATATGGGCTAGAGAATGATCAAACTGGACAGAAGCAGCATCTACCATATGAACTACAGAACGGTCAAACTGGACAGAAGCGACATCTAACATATGAACTACAGAACGGTCAAACTGGACAGAAGCGACATCTACCATATGAACTACAGAACGGTCAAACTGGACAGAAGCAACATCTACCATATAAACTACAGAACGGTCAAACTGGACAGAAGCAACATCTACCATATAAACTACAGAACGGTCAAACTGGACAGAAGCGACATCTATCGTGTGGGCTACAGACTGGTCAAACTGAACAGAAGCGACATCTACCATATGGGCTACTGAATGGTAAAACTGGACAGAAGCGACATCTACCATATGAACTACACAACGGTCAAACTGGACAGAAGCGACATCTACCATATCAACTACAGAACGGTCAAACTGGACAGAAGCGACATCTACCATATGAACTACAGAACGGTCAAACTGAACAGAAGCGACATCTGCCATATGAACATTATAACTGTTATAAACAATGAAGTGATTGTTTGTACTGACATTATAACTATTATAAACAATGAAGTGATTCTTTGTATTGACATTATAACTATTATAAACAACGAAGTAATTGTACTGACTTTATAACTATTACAAACAATGAAGTGATTGTTTGTACTGACATTATAACTATTATAAACAATAAAGTGATTGTTTGTACTGACATTATAACTATTATAAACAATGAAGTGATTGTTTGTACTGACATT